AAGTCGTGGATTTCAAGCTTTTATTTTCAGCGTGAACGTTCTTGTTATTCTACTTCGTTAAAACAAATGCAAGCGCTTTCCAGTCTGGCAACAGTCTGGGCAACAAAAACGGCGACCAGTTTTTACTTCCCGAATTGGACTAAGCATCAACTTTTTTTGCGGTCTGGCCTCGTAGAAGAGGTGTGTTCTGCAATGTGTTGTTCGAACGAGGAGTTTGTAACTCAACACGTTCTCATCTTTGAGATCCTCCGAAATGCAGCCGTGACATTCGTAGCAAATGCTGGACCCACTTGACGACGGCGAACATATTTTATGTATTTGAGTTGGCCCGAAACCTCAGCCATATTGCACCAAGAGCATAGTTAATCTGCCAGTGTCAGTGAACCCACATAATAACCATGTTCTTTCACTGCGAGCTTGGAATTTAATGTCTATACTTTTTACGCGTGGGATAGAAACCTTACGCATGTCCTCAGGACAGCTGCAGCTAATACACACATTAAAACTGCTCCACTATGTTTTTATTGCTAGATGTAGCTACAGACCCCGGAAAAAAGATGAGGCCCATGCAAAGAGTAGTGTTCGACTACGTTAGACTACGTTTTCTTATAGGGACCATGAAATGATTTTTCAACTTCTTTCTTCTTATCTTTAATCCTCGGCTCAAAAGCGAAATGAGAAATCAGGTGGTCGTGACGTGCTCCGGAGGCGATGAGCCCAAGCTTCCGCCGTACGTTTTAAGCACGCCATGGAACTTGGAATTGCCAAGTGATGAGAAGCGACGGGCTGATTGTTGACGAGCGCATACGTCCGTGTGGCGCAGTGCTAATGTCCACCGCGTGAGCTGGGTCCGGCCACGGTGGGTTTAGCTGACGTGCTTTGGGTACGGCGGATTAATCACAGTAAAAAGGCTGAGAGCTTTCGCAGGAAAACAAGTACGAAAGAGTCCGCTATATCTTCAAATTTTCATACAGAAATTCAGACTTTAGGCTTTCTACGCTCGTGCGCTAGTTTCATTTTGGCGCACTAAACGATATGCGATTAGTAAAATCCGATTTTATCCCAGCCTAAAAATCATTTCGTTGTCCCTTTAAGGCCTGTTCACACATGCAGCGGAGCGCTACAGGCATAGCGCTGACCTCGCGCTCAGCGCGTGCTGACGGGAGCGTTAACCAGCTTTGTATCGCACCGTCAAAGCTGTGGATCATGGCAGACATTAAGTAGCTGACGACACGCGAGCAGCGCTACATCAGCGCTTCGCTGCATGTGTGAACTGGCCCTTAAGTGTTGATGAGATTGCGGATCACCGAGACATTCAAGTTTCGTATGTCGGCTGCAGAGCTACGCCTTAAATTTGTTGCCATGCCTGAAACTCGGATGTCCCGATGTCTCACGATCGTAGCTCAATGAAAGCTCTCGTACCATGATTAAAAATACCTTTATTTATGCGCGACTGGTATGACCCGAGGTAGTCAAGCGTTCAAATGCTACCATATGGATGGGTCTTTAGAATAAATGCGAATTCACCTCTTTGACATGCTTCCCTCATACAGTGTAAAACAATCAAGAATGACTGCATACCTTTAGTTCATAAAGGCTCACATTGCAAGGTGTGAGCCTTTATGTCGGTAGCACTACGTGCAGGCGATGAGCCGCGACACTTTCCAAAGACCCGGCACGCTGCGCGTTGAGACACATTTACCAGGTCGCTGGTGCCATGCACACGAATGTCCCAGGACCGTGGAACTGCAGCGCGATCGACAGCTGGAAGATTGGAGGGACCGCAGACCGCGGCTGTTCTCGCACTCCTCCAGCGACAGGGACTTCGGGAGACTGACCACCTCCGCATTCGTAAAACAATAGCGGGCACGAAATTCGCTGTCCTTGAACAGTTCCATCGCGTCCAGCCGATTCCTGATACGGCGCCGTGGGACTGAAAGGCTCCTGTCTTCGCAGTGGTGCGGGAGTTCGTCATTTGTGAGGGTGAAATCTGCGAACTCGGTGATCGATGTGTCGGCCACCATGTCATCAAAAACCTACTCGATTCTCGAAGAAAACCTCGACATAGCTCCGAAGCTACCTCGAAATTTTGGAGGAAATGGCTGAGTATTTACTCAGTCGAGTAGTTTCGAGTCGAGTTTGAACTACGAAACTCAAAACCGTCCTCAAGTGGAGTTTGAGTGGACTCTCGAGTTGAGTAGCGTTTATAAATTCGGCCGTGAGTGCGACAGCGCATCGCAGCTCGGTGCAGGTGGAGTGAAAACTGGCGCCCTCAAACCCGATAGACCTATACATAGTCTTCTCTATACCCACAAAGCCTGGCAGTTCGACGGCGGAGCCATAGAGTGCCCAGTCGCATATTTGAAGCACGAGGATCTGGTAGCACAGGGCATTTCTCGGGGAACCTGGTATTCAGCGCACAGCGTTTTGCAGCGGCGAGGACCCGAAACATGGTTTTCAAACCCGACGAGAAAAGAAGCGGTAGTGCGAGGAACGCGAGGAGCACGAGCAGACATCCCATCGCTCGGGAGAAGTGTGTCTCAGCGTCTGACCGCCGCGGGGCGCCCGTTACATGGCTCCTCTTCCCACCAATTGTGTGCCGCTCTACCTTTTCGATTTCGGCGGCCGCGTCTCGTGGCGATCTGCCGGGTTTTGTCAGTATCGAGGAGGCTATGACCGGTCTCACCAGCGAATTTGAGTACGCCACTGCTGTTGCCATGCATCGTGGGAACTTTAGTCTTTCTGCACGCGCGAAAACACGCTGGAAGTATCTGCGAGCAAAACTCCAGCGGTGTTCTGCGCCTGTTCACAGGTTTCGACGTGTCCTCCAGGGACCTATAATGCCTGCCCCCAAGAAAGCCCGAAGAGGACCTGTTTTGAGGCAGTCGGCACCTTCGCCGAAGTGAAACACAGTTGTGTTAGCTGCAAGAGGATTGTGAACAAACCGCGAGCAAGATGAACCGAGCAAGGTGATCGCTTAGGCGTGAACAGAATGTTGTCCCCGAATATAGTAGTGACACTTCCTGCGATCGCGCAGCTGCGCAGCTCCCTGCCGGCCAGTGGCTCTTGCAGTCAAATATATGAATATATGCCAGTGCTGCATTGCAATTAGGCGCTGTTATGCCTTACTGGAGAGGCCGTAAGACAGCAAGCGTGAATCCAGTCTGGCCGTGGTACAGTCGGCTCACAATCACCTGTTGGCTCGCGTTCTGTACTGCTGGAAAACGTTCATCTAGAATATATACTAGACCGTGTTTTTTTTTTTTTTTAAATACCGATTGTTACGGAATCACTCGATATAAATGTGTTGTTTCTAGATGTTTTCCCCGCTCCTAGGTTATTCTGTCAGTATTGAACGAGCTTGCCCGCACTCTTGCCTTAGTTTCGAAGGGATCGTCGTAAAAAAAGTTTAACATTTGCTGAGAGACATTAATTAGCGTCCACCGCGACACCTGGCATGGCGCCGCGCATGCTCGCGTCAGCTCCAGTGTCACAGCGCGGGCTGAATTTTACGTCATTATTTTTTTTTTTTCGTCTCGTCACTCGCCGAGCTCCCCAGAAAATTGTGCTGTGAATAACCCAACGAACGATGTGCGGAAACGTTTGGCGCACGGGTTGTTTTTAAATGACTCGCAGGAGCTCGATCCCGCGTGCGTACTGTAGTGCCATGCGCTAGAAACAGCCCTAATCGCGCGTTTATTGTTTACGAAGTCTGTCGAGCCTAGCGTTCATAGGTTCGAGCGAATAACTGAAGAGCTAAAAAGTTGAGTGCGTCTACTTTCCCAGGAAGCACTTGGGAGATTGAATGAAATGAAACCAAATGAAATGTTGCAAATGAAACCAACGGCGAATTTGGAGGGAGAATATCTATTGAGACCTAAAAAGATTCCGAAACTTCATTTTCAGTATCAGAATGCGGAATGTTCTTTTAATATATATTTTGTTCATTGGGCAAGTCCGATGATCTTCGAAGTACGGGAAAGTAGACCTAAATCTTCTAGCCCGAGTTAAAAACCAGTCTCCAGTAAAAGCTGTTTTTTTTTTTTTTTGCTTTTGTTTGTTTGGCTGCGTGTGCGACGTTAATAAACCGCATCTACTGGGTGCTCCACGCGTTTTCCGAAAGAATGCCGCTGTCACGCACAACCCGATCCAAACAGGAAGGGGCGAAGATTCGAAACTTCATCGAGCAACATTGGCGGTCGTCGTTTCTCGGGCAGAAGTCGTGCGATCGCAGGGTTCGTGGGTTTTGCAGCCTAGGTGGACCGCACTTAAATCGCGTGTCACTCCAAAATCGAGATAAGGAAAAAATATTCCGTTCTTTTATTATACTTTCACAGCGCCGGCAAATTACGCTTCATCTCTTACTCTCTTGGGCTGCTTTTGTGTGTCGCACTATGCATTTGTATATTTAGAATCGTTTATGCTTTCTTTAAAAATACTCGTATCTTCAAAAATAAAAATCGGTAGGATTTTGTTGGGGGCGCTGTACGTTCGCTTGTCTACGTGTACGTCTGCGCGTGTGTATGTGTCTGTGTGCCTGTGTTCGTGTTGTGATGTGTGTGTGTGTGTGTATGTCCCTCTGTGTTTGTCTCCGTGTCTGCAATCTATGTAGGCTCTCAACCCCTCGCGAGCACTTCGCCGAAATCGTTCGTTGCGTTTGCCGACAGCCCGCGATCGTCAGCACTTCGGCGAAAACGTTCCCGGAATAAATCGTGGCAAATAAGGCTCTTCATACACAGACACGCGCTTACAAAGTCTCTCGCCGGTCTTGTCGCACCGTGAAATCAAAAGCAAAAAAATATCGCACAAAGACGTCACAAAACGAAAGAAGAAAAATAAAATCGAGCTTCTCTCGGAGAACGCAAAACGAAAGCGAAAGTCTTTGTCCCACTCGCCCCGGTCGTCTGCTAAACCGGGCCCGCGTAGCGCGATTGGTCGAGCGCACCGCTGACGTCACGGGACGTCGTCTGCTTGAAAAATGGCAGACGCAGGCCCGCTTCGCCGGAGTGGCGCGGGCGGCGAGAGTTGTCGTATCGAAACCGAAAGTTGGGGGGCCTTTGTGGTTGGTGCGTCTCGTGGTGCGATCCTCGGAGGAACTGCCGGAATGTGTCTTCTCTACCTGTTCGTGAACCCGCAGCCGAAACCGGACGAATACCTGCTCGTGCTCGCCAACGTGAGGGACGAGTTCTTCGGACGACCGACGAGTGGCTGCCATGTGTGGGAACGGAATCCGCAGCTGGTCGGACGTGAGTCTGGTCTTAGCCTCACTTTTCGGTTTTCCACGTTTCGCTCGATGTTGGCACCGACTGAAACGCCTCGCTTCGAGACTTTTTTCAGCGGCCCTAATCTCGTCAGCTACAGTCCGATGTGAAAACACATTTTTTTTTTTTTTAAGCTGTCGCTTATTAGAGTTAACTTGAGCTGGACGGGTTTCTTCAATCATTTCTTCTTCCCGGTCTACTCATTCGAGTGTATCGAAGAAAAATTAGGCGTCACTCCCAAAAGTCGTGAGAGCTGTCATCAAAATTCTGTCCACCGTGAAACTTTTCAAACCTTATCTTCGAAATCACTTTAACCTCCTGCGCTTAGTACGTCTCAGTAACGCTTGCGGACGAGTTGTGTTTTTATGGCAGATTTTTCAAAAAGAAAAGAAAGAATAGATCAAACATCACTTAAATATAGTCGTAGACAGTGAGGATTTTTTTATTATGAATATTATTGCCTTACGAGGGTATTTGTAACGGTCTTTTTTGAACGCAACTTAAATGATTATCTGCGGCGAATGTCTGTTTGCGGGGTTCGGCCAAGCTCCTGCACACGCCGCTTCCTGTAGCGAGCGGGAGTTTGGCGGTGAAGCCCAACCCCTGATCGTTTCCTCTTCGCACGCGAGTGGCAGCGCGCAGGTAGGTTGGCGTGGTAGAAACTCGAGTAATTAATTTGAGTAGAGAAATTCGACTATAAAATATATCGTGGGACTAAAATTTGAAGTACAGTTTTTTAATGACTATCTAAAAAAAGTGAGAGTCTACGTTCAATCCAAGAGGGGTGGAGAGAAATGAGCAACACGATAAAAGCGACTGGGTTAGCGTCGAATGTTGGAAACATTTATAACTGCAATAGAAGCTTAATAGTAACATATACGAGACATTCTGGTTAATATGTTTAAAACAGTTCTTCCGTAGCGTCTGGGATATTTTCTTTCATATTCGAATGGTTCTATCTTGTGATAAAACTTTTGTGACGCAGCAATTAAAAGAACATGTTAAAAACAAACAGCGTTTACAGCGTTATGCTCTCGTTAAATACTGAAGTTTATTAGGTGTATCTTTTAGGGAAAAAAATGCGGCACGGTTTTAAGTATATTCGAAGTACAATAAGCGATAAGGCAAGTTCTGTATCGCACATGGCAGTATCGTTGTCTTGAATGATGCTACTGTTGCCGCCTCGTTATTGAATATTGCGATTGAAACAAGACATGTACTCGGGATTGTACACGTAGACATTTTATATTTGCATTATGTACATATCCTAAACTCAATCTGTTGTGATTTTTTTTATCGTAGCTTTTTGTACCGTATATTCGTAACTGATTGTTTCTTACCTACCGGAACTCGAAATCCGTCCGCTGTGCCTCGAACAAATAAATATGAAATGCATCGTTCGAGGGCTGAGTAGTTTTGCGTTAAGAACATTTAAACCTGCGACTGGGTTTTGATATGCCGCGATTTCTATTCCGAGTGTTTCCAACGTTTGCTAACGATACTTTTTAGATCCGAGTTGAAATCGGATGGAATCGTGAGATTATCGTTTACGGACCAAATATTTTCGAGGCTATAAGGCGAAAATTCCAAATGCGACACGAGCGACATCGTCGCACGATGCGGAATATTGGTTCAACAAAAACGGTGTCCACACTCCACGAGACCGGGACGCACAGAGCATTGGGGCTCGCAATGTAGTTTTGGCTTCGCTGAGACCTGAGGTGAAACAATGTATAGTTAGATATTTTTCTACTTTTTCATTCCCGTTTTTATTTTTTATTTTTTTTTTTAATTATACTTTTTGTAAGAATTTTTTTCGGGTAGCACATGACAGTGAAGATGTTCTACATGTTGCATTCTTCTTCTTTTCCTTTCTTTGTCTTGTTATGTTCATGTATTTTAAGAAGATGAGAAAAAGAGTAAGTCGTGAGTCAGCGTTGTGCCTGTGTCCCCTCTTCTACTTGCCCTTGTGTCTTTCGCGCTGTTTTAAGCAGGGAACACTCGACTTTGGCTCGTAACGGTCAATGCGTCGGCGGACACTCGGGCAGTGGCTCGTGTCCAAGTTCCAACCACTGTGATGATGAGAATAGCCGAACTCTAACAATGCCTGGAACCCAGCACGCGTTTTATACTTTGCCAAGCCCCAGCGCGTGGCTATGATTAACGTTGGCGGCAGAGGATAGGCACCGGGCCAAGTGGCCTATTGTTCTGGTTCCGAGTTGAGGGGACGGACGATGCTCATATTTCTCGAATTGTTTTGGCGACTGCCAGAAAGGAAGACTAAGGCAAGTTTATTCGGTTATTAACGTTGCGGAGTGATTCTGATTAGTGTTTAGCGGAAATAGAAAAATTGTTGCATGGCTTTTTTAATCATAAGCACTAGTTCGTTTTCGATGATCAAATATTTACCTAATCGTTTTCGCCGGCCCATATCGCCCCTGTCGCACAAGTTAAGGCACGCTTGGAAGTAGCATTATGAGCGGCCGATACTAATATCCTTTTACGGAAATACAATTTTCGCGAAGTCTCTGAGCACATGTGAAATTTCTAAGCGCACTTTACGCCGTATATCAGCGAATATACATGGGTGAAAAAAAAATTTTCAAATGCAATGTTACGAATGTAAAACTGCGATGTAACCGCCAAATTATCAGCAGCACAAAAATCTTAAATTATTTTCAGCCCTTGTTTCCACAAAGAAATGATTTAAAAAAAACGCTAATCTTCACATGCTTTCGTAAGTTGGAATTCGCGGACTTGGCAGATGAAAGCACATTTCTTTCTGAGAGGCAGAGTAGGCATTGAAACTATAAATATGAAGTTTCCTTGGTGCCTCAAGCTTGAACATATGATCTATCGATGGCCATGGTGACGGCAGAAGAGACACGCTGAATGCTTCTTGCTGGAACATCTCGCGTTTTTAGTAGGCGTGGATTAGCAAGCTACAGGCAGGACCTCGGTAGAAACTATTTAACAGCGGCTGAAAAGGGCTTATATACGCATTACTTTCCTAAAAAATTGTACGAGGAGAAAAAGATGGTCGAAAGAAACAAGATATGACAAGGACTGCACCCTACTAAGACGACGAGAACGCGAGGTTCTTGCTACAAAACAAACTTAAAAGGTTAAAACAGCGCAAAAGACAACGGACAGGGTAAAAAAGGACACAGACAGAGCGCTGACTATGTAACATGGCTGAACAGAGAAACAATTAAAAGGGCTCAATGTACTAGAAATAAATGTTGTTGTTGTTAGCAACATTTATTTCTAGTACATTGGGCCGTTTTAAATGTTTCTCTGTTCAGCCATGTTACATAGTCAGCGCTCTGTCTGTGTCCTTCTTTACCCTGTCCGTTGTCTTTTGCGCTGTTTTAACCTTTTAAGTATGTCACACCAACTCGCCCAGGCTTCAACCTTACAAAACAAAGCTAAGCGAGGGAAACGGAAAGAGTTTCCGGAAAACTCAACAGCGGACCTGGAAACTCTCTTGAGTATCGTTCTCCGAAACGACACTGCGTTGGCTCGTAGGTTGACATCACTCGTACGTTATCCGTCACAAGAAACAAAACAACTCGTAATTCGTTACATTTATGGGTAGTTTTGTACCGGAATATATACGTATCTTATAACGAAATTGTAGAGTGATTTCCTCGCTTATTTAGGGAAGGGAATGATTGCGTTACATTTATTTTGTTTTCTTTTACGAAGGAGGCCTATCCGGAGTGCAAGTCGTCTGCTTCTTTTGCCGGGGGTTCCAGTGACGTCAGAACGCCGAGCTCTGATTGGCTCTAATTGAAGGATAGTAGGTACACCTCAAAGCAGGCTGCCTTGAGGTATACCCACTATTCTTCATTCAGAACCAATCAGAGCTCGACGTTCTGAAGTCACGCCAACCCAGGCAAAAGAAGCAGACGAATTTGCTCTCCGCGTTGCGCCCGCGCTAAGACGCTGCCGATGCCTCGCGCTCGCGGTAAAGCGGTATATGTGGTGCTGCGGGAATTTGCTAGTGATTGAATAGAATCTTTATTGGTAACAGAATGAACATACGACAATGAACATAGTGACTTTCGAGCAGGAAATCTAGTCATTGACAGCTTAAGATGTGTTCAGCCTTTGATGGTTGCTTCTTTGGCCTATTTCATGGCCAGCCGAGCGATTACTACATGCTCGACAACATCTACGTTTTTTTTTTTTTTTTTTTGTTTTTTTAAGTTGCAAAATGGATAACCTCTCAGATGTGCTTCTGCCAGGTGGGCGAATAAATATTTATACGATTTAACTCGGGATTTCAGTCGTGATTTAAATCAAACCGTTTTACTGTGAAAAAGTAAATCAAACCTTTCACACACATAAAAAACAACACACACACACACACACACACACACATATATATACAGGGTGTTTCTTTTTTATGCTTAACAGATTTGTTTAAAAAAAGCCCTGAAAGTTACACTTATGCCGCTTGTGGAGGTGAGTTATACGGCCAGGGGAAAATATTATAGGGGGCTAATTCTAATGATCAGTCGTCTAAATAATTAAAATTCGTTAATTAACTTTTTAATTAATGAAAATAGACATATGGTTCCAATTAGAAACTTGCTCAGCGTCATCGAAAACCACTAAATCAGTCATTTTCAGAAGACTTTGAGCGCGTGAGAAGCGTAGTAGCGCACTAAAGTTACCACTCGTGGAGCAGGTACGAGGCTGGGGCTAGATAAGAGACGGAAAAATCGCGCGGGCGCCTTATCGCAACCGCTAGCTTTGTACCTGCTCCACGAGTGGTAACTCGCACAGTGCAGAAAGAATAAAGCGGTACTTACTTAAAATCGAATTATAATACGTGACCTTCAATTTATTTGATAATTTGCCTGTACAAGAAGTTACTGATCCAGTTTTATTCTGTAGTTCTTGCCGTCTCTCTTGATGTTGCACGTGTGCTTCGTTTGTTTGGCACGTATACCCCCCTTCCTGAAAAGCACCGACGC